GTTAATATTATGTATTATCGAGCCGCCACTGGTTATTTTTATATCTTGTTCTTATAACACACTCACTACACACATCTCAAACCTTCATTCTCCTGCACAGTTTATATTATTTTGGCTATATCAGAGTTGATAAAAGTTTTAGAAGTTATGTTATTATCGTCTTGTTTTTTAGGTCATGTTTCTTTTTAGGAATAAGTAAATATTTGTTCTACTTATCTGTTTGTTTGTTTTTTGTGTTTTAACTTATTTTCTTTGTTTAACTTTGAGGGAATGTAGTACACATTGTTTCATATAAATAATCGTAAAAACAGAATTTTTGACGGGGATGTAGATCCAGATATTACTGTTTGAAGACAGAAAAATCACCAGATAAGAGAAAAGAAATAAGACGTGTGTTTGACGGTGACTAACAGAAAACTGTTTTTTTTTTACCCCAGCCAATGATGTAAAACACGAGGAGGTTTTTCTGTTCAGCAAAGGCTGCTGCTATCAGCTTATGTAGGTAGAACCCCTCACACAGCATCCACATGTAAGTTGTCATCCGGAAGTAGTGTTTGAGAATTAACAGGATCTTACACAGCGCCTACATGCGGTGAAAAAAATAAATATTTACTTAAATATATATTCTGGAGGAAAATGTATAAAAATAACATATTTATTGTCCTATCCATTACATAAATAAAATTGTCAGTCAGACTGATTAGAAATATGCTTCATCTTGGAAACCGCAGAACTAGTAATCAGAAAAAAAACACCACAAAAACGACAAGAGGGAATCCTCAATAGCCGTGACATTTAAAGTTCTTTTAGGCAGGAGTAGAGTAATTTAATATATATTTTTTTCCTTTTATTAGCTACGTTTTTGTGCGCCAGCAATACCAAGATTGGAGTGCTTGTACACCCGATTCGATTTTATTACTCATTAGGATCTCTACCTACCTACCATCAAATTGAAATTATTTTAGGCAGGATTAAAGTAAATTAATCTATGAGACCTTGGGCGTGGTCAAATACATCAATCGAAAGGGTTTGATCACTAGAGTTCAAAACTGCAATTAGAGCTAAAATCGGTCAACAGATGACGGAGCTGTGAAATAAAAGTAGTTTTACAAGCCGTTATGCCGCGGCTAAAAAAAGAAAGAAAACATTACTAAAGCGTTTTACCGCTTATCATATTGTGATTGTTTACGAGTAGACCTGGAAATTTGCTTGTATCTTGAGTCAGACTTCAGACTACACGTGTTACAGTCTTCAGCAACACTTACCTTATTCTGTTTTAAAATCACTGTTCACGGCCTATCACTTACCGTGTTCTGTTTAAAACTCACTGTTCACGGCCTGTCACTTACCGTGTTCTGTTTTAAAATCACTGTTCACGGCCTATCATTTATCGTGTTCTGTTTTAAAATCACTGTTCACGGCCTGTCACTTACCGTGTTCTGTTTTAAAGTCACTGTTCACGGCCTGTCACTTATCGTGTTCTGTTTTAAAGTCACTGTTCACGGCCTATCATTTATCGTGTTCTGTTTTAAAATCACTGTTCACGGCCTGTCACTTACCGTGTTCTGTTTTAAAGTCACTGTTCACGGCCTATCGCTTATCGTGTTCTGTTTTAAAATCACTGTTCACGGCCTATCACTTACCCTGTTCTGTTTAAAAGTAACTGTTCACGGCCTATGATTTACCGTGTTCTGTTTTAAAATCATTGTTCACGGCCTATCATTTATCGTGTTCTGTTTAAAACTCACTGTTCACAGTCTGTCACTTGCCGTGTTCTATTTTAAAATCATTGTTCACGGCCTATCATTTATCGTGTTCTGTTTTAAAGTCACTGTTCACAGTCTGTCACTTGCCGTGTTCTGTTTTAAAATCATTGTTCACGGCCTATCATTTATCGTGTTCTGTTTAAAAGTAACTATTCACGGCCTATCGCTTGCTCTGTTCTATTTTAATGTCACTTTTCACGACCTATCGCTTACCGTGTTCTGTTTTAAAGTCACTGTTCACGGCCTATCGCTTACCGTGTTCTGTTTTAAAGTCACTGTTCACGGCCTATCACTTACCCTGTTCTGTTTTAAAGTCACTGTCCACGGCCTATCGCTTACCCTGTTCTGTTTTAAAGTCACTGTCCACG